CCCCCCCTGGTTGTCATATTCGACCCCTTTCGCTGTACTCACCTTACCTTTTTCTCTACCTTTGTGTCTATCTGCCTCTTTTACATCTGTGAATCGCTCTTCTCTTCCCCACCCCTCGACTTTCTGCTACTTTGATCAACCTTCCCTCTGTGAAGCCCGAAGTCAGCTAAAGGCCTAATGATAAGTGTCATAAAGCCCGCCATTTGAAATAAATATTTTAAACAGCCTCCCGAATTGATGAGCTTATTTTCGCCCTGCTCCTCTGAGCACAGACTTTAGCATATTAGTAAGAACAACCTAAATGACCTTGAAATTGAAATATAAATTTAAAACTGTGACCCAGCAGGACGTGTAAAAGTTGAAAACAGGATGAACAACTTAAAAATATTATTGAATAAAGTGCACGCAGAGATGAAACGAAGGGGTGGGAACAAGTACAAATAACGTAGGCTTGGTCGACAGTTAGAAAAAAACAGAAATGACGTTTCAAGGACATCGGAATAGCAAAAAAACGTAAAATTCAAAACCTCCGAATAAGATGAAAAGGAGTTAACGCCGATTTGTTGGTCTGGGGGATGTGTAATATCTGATTAAAGCCAAGTTGTAAAATCATTTAAGAAATCTAATAAATTCACATTTAAAAAGAAGAGTTCTAAATGTCGAACAAAAATCTAGCTCTTAGCTTCAAAGGTTACGACAAGACAGAGAGTTCAATAACGCCAAAATCAGAATAGCACAGTGCGTAAATACCGCAACATCATTTGAAATTGTTCATTCAGAAACAAATGCTAATTTAGAACTACTGTTCATTCATCGGTAATGAAAAGCACTCTTCACACACACTCTCATTTAATTCATCAGTTAATTGTGATAACCCAAAAAATTTAAAAACACATTATTTTATGTTTGAGATAAAAACGTAAGGTGATATGGAATAATGAGTCTTAAATATCCTCAGGGCAAGTAAAGAAATGCACACTTTTAAAAACCATATTTAAAAAATAACAACTTGATTATTTTCAAGAAACGATTATCTAAAGTTCATTGTAAAAAGAGCATCTCAACTATTCAATTCCCCATAAAAGTCGCCGGGTGGTTTCTAGTTATTATCGATTTTACATAAACTTGCGGTCAAATTACGGTTAAAACGGAAATAATCTCTGCCAAAAGGACGCCATATCTTTACTTACGAATCAACAGGACTCGAAATATCAAGTAACAGCTTGGTGCAACCGTGGATATATATTTATTACCTGGAAAAGTTACTTTATGGTAACATTGTGACATACCTGGATACCGGCAGTGGAGGCGACATCTAGATAGGTTGTGGAAGGATAAACACCAGATAGACTTCGAAAGATATTCGACGAAGAAGCCGTGGACGAAAGACGTGCGACTCTACTCGGTCGATTCTGTTGTTGAGACTTTGGTCCTTCCGTGTCCTCAACTTGTAATGCGGGCAAATTTTTCGTGGATGACATCACCTTCAAAACCTTTCAGATTCTGCAATTCCAAAACATATGTTATGAGCAGTGAGTAGCAAGAAATTTATCTACATGAAGTTGCCTTAAATCCCAACGGTAAAACAACTCTAGGATTCCGATTTAGAAACGCAATTTTTCCCTAATCAGAAAACTAAGTGTGAAATGAGGAAGTGTGTAGTAAGGCTCCATTGGGAATAAGTGAAAAGAGATAAGGAAGAGCAATGAGGCTTAGTTAAGTTATATGAAGGTGACTGCTCCATGTCCACGGGTGACAAAAACCAACATTAGACACATAAATCAAAATACGTGCCCAATAAAGCGCTTCAAGGTTTCGAAGAATTACGGGAAAACTTTGCCAATTTCCCTAATTCCTTCTTAATAACAATACCCTTCTTTTTAGTCAGCAAATCTGAGTCAACTGTAAGCCGGAGAGTAAATGTACCGTGGCGACAGAAAGCGGAACTTCATAGCATTGCAGCGATGCAGAAAAGGCATGTGTTTTGCAAAATGTAAGAAAACAATGGCCGATTTTTCGCATTAGACAGAAAGAAATAATAGCTGGCTACCTAGATGTTTTAAAAGCTAGCCATTTTTCTTCAAATTGCATATAGAAATGGAATAGAAGACAAATAAGGCAAAAGCGGTCTCATGACAGGAAGAAACGCAAAACCGACCTCCATAAGAAGTGTTTGATGGTAAACAAAAAACGAAATACAGAGAAAATCTTCAATTATTTGGGTAACAAGTTTTGGCACCATTCACTAGTACGTACGAAGTGGGCAGAATTGGAAGCCATGTGTACACTTAAAACAACGATAATAAGCAGGTATATATCAGAGAGAAACATGGCTCAAGATAGGACAGAACCCACACAGCACATTAAATTGCTTACGTGAAATAATGGGCTGAAGCCTTCCAGAAATCGTTAACTCAAAACCCCACTTAAGATAAGTAATGTAATTGGATATGAAATTAATTAAAAATTAATACGCGACGAATAAGCGCCTACTATTTGATTATCAAAATACACTACATAGATTAGCACTGCGGAAGAATCATCCAAGGTCATAAATGTAGTTGGTATACAAACACGCGAGAATGGAACTAATCTTGATGAATATTTTAATATCTCCATTGGTTGTAACTATTGTTGTGCAGGAAGGTGAATAGGGACAAGGTCAAAACAGAGTGTTGGACAAAAAAAAACATGTTGAACAAAACAAGAGGGCGTTTCAAGCAAGTGTAAGAGAAAGAGCTGTGGATGAGGGCAAATAGGAGGGAAGTGTACAATCAGACAACTGGTGAGCATGCGTGAATATCTGAGTGGCACTGCGAAGACAGTCGAAATAAGTTAATTTTGCAAGGACGTGGCATGAGGAAATGCGTGCAGTCTGGCATTAACTGAAACGGGCAGTTATAGAAAAAAAGGAGAATCGATAACTCGTCTAAGAAATGACAACTAGAGGTCAGTCATCCGCAAAAATAATGCGAGGAGGACTTCAATATGCAGGCCGAACTTTGTGGCTTAACTTTGCCCCAATCTCTCAGGCACGATCTGTATTATATTTAACGTTGAAAATTTGTTGGGTTAAAAACTTCAGATAAATATTTTTGTTAAAAAAATAATAGTAGATACAATTTGTTTATTTAAATAAATTATCTAGTTGAAACTGCAGACAGGAAGGGGTGTCCCACCATGTACATTCCAAGAAAGATTCTTTTTGAATAACCTTTAGCCAAAACTCGGAGACAAAAATGGGATAAGCTTTGCTTGATAAAATGGAAGGTCATACAGTCTACAATTTTAGTAGACCTATAACAAAACAAAAGGGGGAAAATGAATGTCCCGGATAAAATTTGCATCATTTTTTTATTTCACAGTTGTCAAATTAATTCGACTGTCTCGTTGACTAACTGTCTCAAAGATCCATTCGTGAAGGTCATTTCTAAGACCACCTGCTTACTATTCGAAGTCCACATCCCAAACTTTGAAGTTGTTACTATAGTCCCTGCCTGATCATTCAACAAGCAGGTGATGTCAGTCGAGACTTCAAAACGATTGTCATTATCATCAGTGGTCCACGCTATTCATTTAGATATGCGAGATGATTAGCTACGAAAGTAGCAAGGGTGTGGGATTTTTACCACGGCTTTCAGGCCTACTTGACGCGTTTATGGCCTCGAGTTTTGCGATGCATTTTACATTTGAGCGCCTTAAGTGGTGGAGTAAAGTAAAGTAAATTTTTTCTATTCCGCTCAAAAGAACCTGAATGGATGAGTGCCCATCTTTAAGATGGCAAATCTCAAACTCTTCCCAAGTTAACTACCTTAAATACCACTTAATACGAAGCGAGGGTGATTAGACCACCTCTTGTGACTTAATTTTTTTAAAGATGCTGTATTTACAAAAAAATATTCACATCATAGAGAGTCAAGAGAAAGGCTCTGATTGATTAGGACGAAATGAACGCAGTTTCAACTTAAACTGAAACTGCCACCTAATGGTGTTCTAAATAAACTACTACTAGACACTCACCGTGTAGACTTAAAGTGACATAGGTTCAAGTAAACAAAGTAGTCAATGCTCGAATAGACGCACCGACTTCATCCGCTTCTATGAAGGGGATATTTACACAACTTCTCGAGATAGGGAGGGGGATCATTTGGACAAGAAATCGTAGCCACATACACAATCGCAAACCTATAGGCCAACTATTGCAACACGAAATTTGAACCAATTAGATACGATATATTGAGTAGTAAGCGGGAAATATCACCATAATCCAAATAAGACTTCTTAAATACCCAAATGACGTTCCCTCCACGACTCCTTTCATTTACTCTCCACTAAACTACTTGAACGTAGACCCCACTAAGGTCCACTCTAGTAAAAAAAACAATCATTTTTTTTCATTCCATCATCCTAAATCCCCTATAAATTTGTCCAAAATAGCCCGACGTGGGGCAGGGTAGAGAAGAGAAACGCAAAAGAGCGATCTTCAATTTACTAAATTGAAATGCAACTAACTGGAAGTCCGTGGATTTAGTCAGTGGAAACTTTCCAATTACTCTGGCTCAAAGCAGTCATTAAACCAGATTAGCCTATTTTCCTGATCAAATCTTAATTATCTCACAGTATGAAGCGCATTCAATGGAAAATAAATGGAGAAGAAGAGGACCTCAAAGTAGGGAGAGAAGCCAAGGAGCTAGGCGATAAGTTAATATCTCCCAAGGTGACTATTTATATCTTTTCCACTGCGTCATTGAATGTGCGCAAGGAGACGACTTCCATTTGATTAATTTGCGCATTTAGAAACGCCACCGTGACTGATAATTAAAGTGGTATAGGATATAGGTTTTTATGACCTTTGGACGACAAGGAAATAATAATATTACTTTAACTAAGTGTATTATAATAGTTAAGTAATTGAAACCTTTAAAGAAGCCATATACAAAAGTAAAATATGCCCTCCTCAAAGCCATTTGACAAGAACAATTCCCATCAGAAGTATCATTAGTGAACCAATTAGGGGAAACTCGCATTCACTCACACTTCCCTCGATCATAATTATTAGCTTTATATACACCGATGAGAAATATCAAGGTCGTCAAAGGTGAATAAAATGGCAAATATCACACGTGATTCATCACTCAATGATTCTGATGCCATACCAACACGTCTGGTGCACCAATTGTCTCTATCAATGCCTTAGTTCACATCAATTTTGGTCCAACCTAATCCGTCTCTTCAACAAAAGCGTCTTCACAATGTTCCCGAGGTTGGCATTTTGTCCCCCTCCCCCCCCCCTCCCTTCCCAAACAACGACCTTTCAGACACCTTATGTGTAAGAGGTGGCGAAAGGTTGAATATGACGAAGGACGCATTGTTTTTCACAGATTTCCCCAGTATTTCTGAGTTATAACCCAGTAACACGACCAGTATTAGTCAAGGACAAAATAGGCCAACTTCATTGGATCGTTCAAAGCAGCGGCAGTGATGACTGCCGAACGTTTTATTTTCGAGGCATTTCAAATTCCTGGCCGATATATAATCTCACTACTGCACTTTTCGTCCTTAACGGCCAGTTTCCAAGGCAGCTTTGACTGTGGTAGACGAGGAATTAAAATTTCTGGAACAATAGGCATTTTAAAGTCTACCTTTTGATGATGGTAGATGCTCTGTAAAGTTTGATTTCGCTGAAGCCTACTTGCTAGTCGAAATTGGACCGAAGTCAGGTAATCAACTAGCTATAAATGAGCCGCATTTTCATTCAGTGTTATTACAGAACTTGCTATTTTAAATAGATAATAGATACTATCATACGAGCCATGTCTGGTATTTCTACGCACAGACGACGTAACCATTGAGATCCGCTACCAGCAGGAACTATGGCGTATCCGGGAGCATGGTTTCCGCTTTCAAGGGAAAAAAAATATTCCCCCCCCCTATCAAGGTCCTAGGGTGTAACGTTGAAGGAAATGGCCGTCTACGCGCTCAGAAAAGCTTCGAATAATTGCAGAAATTTTTCGAATTAAGGGCATTGTCATTTTACATCCATCCCTGGGTCGCATCAGCCCCACTAACTGTGCAAATGAGAAAAGATACGAGAAGGAAGAACTGTGATCCAGAATGTGGGAATGTGATGGCTAAAGGACGTGCTCACTTCTGGGATGGTGGTTTCGTCACTACTACCCGAATCTACCAATTATAGTGACTTTAGATGTTTTGAACTATGGTATTGATGTGAGTATCTCTCTGGACTTCCTTATTAGTTCCAGAAAAACTGTCTACGGTAAGTCCCACTCTCTTATTTCAGCTGAGAAGTGCAGGGTATTATTTACACTCTGAAAAGTACCAGAAATTGCTACACCCTTAGCACTTCAAACTATCACAGCTATTCTAAAATTGTTTCTCCATATTCGAAACCAAAAGAGCGTTCCAGTTTGAATTGTAAGGCGACTTCTGCGTTGGCTGACCATCCCTATGTTGGCTATGA